AAAAAAAAATATGAATAAATAATAATAATAATAAATCTAGTTGTCTAAACCTGCATTGTGTATTCCAACTATTGTTGGCCGTTTGACAAATTTCTTTGTTCCTATTTTGTAAATTGTTTTGGATAAAAGCGTTTGCTAAATGAATAAATGTAAATGTACAGTTCAGTAAATTCCTTTCCTTGTCTTTCCAATTCCGATTGCAGTTCAGCTTCCTGTATGTTGTGGCCAGATTCTGTTCAGATTCACTCTCCTGAACTGAAAGCGCTGATTCTTCAACGCTGCCTGAAACATCAAAGCTCAGGGACGCTCGTGTCGGCCAATCAGAACAGAGTAGAGCTGATGACACGTATTTGGGGATGTTGTATGAGAGAATGTGATGATGTGGTAAATTTAAGCTTCGGGCTTTATGACCCAGGCGAGTTCATCGAGAGAAGCCCTAATGGCAGTGTACATGCAGGGGGCTGCGGTGTGTGTGTGTGTGTGTGTGTGTGTGTGTGTGTGTGTGGAGGGGGGTGATGAGCCACAGTGGAGCCGCTCTGGAGAAGTGAAATCACTGTAATAAGAGGGTAGTGGTTTGGCACAAATCACACACAAACACACACACACACACACACACACACACACGTAAGAGCGAGGTGAAGCAGGATCTTTGCCCTCTGCTCTGTTTAATTCTTACTACAGTCTTGTGACTCGTTTTGCCGGGTGTTTCTGGAGTCACGCCTGAGATCATCAACTTGCAAACACTACTTTGTGAGCTGCAGCCGAGAGGAAGATTTTAATGTTTCCTTTAAAAAATCTTCACAAACATGTACTATAGTTTTTCCACTTATTTGATTTAATTAATTATTTATTTATTTTATTTTGATAGGTAGTTTGTTAATTATATAATTTATTTATTTTATTCCTTAGTTTGTTATATAATGTGTTTATTTCATACACTCTTAAAAATAAAGGTGCTTCACGATGCCATAGAAGAACCTTTTTGTCTAAATGGTTCCATAAAGAACCTTTAACATCTGAAGAACCTTTCTGTTTCACAAAAGCTTCTTTGTGGCGAAATAAGGTTCTTCAGATTACAAAAAGGTAAGAAAGAGATGGTTCTTTAAAGAACCTTTGACTGAATGGTTCTTTGTGGAACCAAAAATGGTTCTTCTATGGCATCGCTGGAAGAACCTTTTAAGCACCTTTATTTTTAAGAGTGTAGATAGTTTTATAAGTAATTATTTATTCCATAGGTAGTTAGTTAGTTAACTAGTTAGTTAGTTAGTTAGTTAGTTATACCGTATAATGTGTTTATTTCATAGATAGTTTTATAAGTTATTATTTATTCCATTGATAGTTAGTTAGTTAGTTAGTTAGTTAGTTAGCTAGCTAGCGAGTTAGTTATATAATGTGTTTATTTCATAGATAGTTTTATATGTTATTATTTATTCCATATGTAGATAGATAGATAGTTAGTTAGCTAGCTGGTTAGTTATATAATGTTTATTTCATAGATAGTTTTATATGTTATTATTTATTCCATAGGTAGATAGTTAGTTAGTTATCTAGCTAGCTAGTTATATAATGTGTTTACTTCATAGATAGTTTAATCAGTATTTATTTGTTCCATAGGTAGTTAATTAGTTAGTTAGCTAGCTAGTTAGCTAGTTAGTTAGTTATATAATGTGTTTATTTCATAGATAGTTTTATATGTGATTATTTATTCCATATGTAGATAGATAGATAGTTAGTTAGCTAGCTGGTTAGTTATATAATGTTTATTTCATAGATCGTTTTATAAGTTATTTTTTATTCCATAGTTAGTTAGTTAGTTACCTAGTTAGTTATATAATGTGTTTATTTCATAGATAGTTTTATAAGTTATTGTTTATTTCATAGGTAGTTAGTTAGTTATATAATGTGTTTATTTCATAGTTAGTTAGTTAGTTGTATAATTCATTGTTTATTTCATAGTTATTTAGTTATATCATTTATTTATTTATTTCATAGGTAGTTAGTTGTTATATCATTTATTTAATAGATAATTATATACTTTATTATTTATTTAATTGATACTTAGTTGTATAAATTATTTGTTTCAGTTAGTTGCTATATAATTTATTTCATAGATTGGTATTTCATTTATCTGTTTCATATTAGTTGTTATGTAATTTATTTAATAGACATTTAGTCATATAATTAATTTATATAAGATAATTATATAATTTATTTTATAGATAGATATTTATGTAATTTATTTCATAATAGATAGTTATCTATTTATGTATTTATTTAGATATCATTTAATAGATGGATGGATGGATGGGTGGATGGGTGGGTGGGTAGATAGATAGATAGATAGATAGATAGATTTATTGGACTGTATTCATTCACGTTTAAATATTTGCATATGTGCACTAGTTTGTGAGCTTCAGCGGAGGGGAAGAGGTTCATTTTTCCTTCAAAACTCTTCATATGTCCTGTAGTATTTGTGCTGAACGTTTAGAAGACATGTTTTTATTTGAACATTTTTCTTGTCAGTAGACTTTTGCTGTCTGACGGTATTAAGGAAACCCCAGGACTCGCTGTCTATTATATACTCAGACAATTACACGCCAGACAGAAAGCGCTTGCCAAACGGACGACTTCACTTATTGTTTACGCTTGTTGGCTTGTAAAGGAGTTTTGTTCCCTAATTGTACAGCGCAGGGTAAAATGCAGCGGTGCCTGTGCGCTTAATTCATCCTCGCATTGTCACGTTGGGCTGTTAATTTGGCTGAACTGGCACGCGCCCAAAGTTCACCAAGTTCACAGACACTCGAGGCAGGAGAGGGAAGCAGCGCTCTCAAAAGCCTCCTAAAGTTTTCTTGTTTGCTGATTCAGCACAATGAAAAGTGAAGCTGTGCTCGAAAGCTCTGTAAGTGCTGTTCAGTCATCAATACAGGAACCCAGATGTAATCCGTGTAGTTCTTCAGTTTGAGGAAGAATGTGTTTATGAAAAGAGTTGGTTAGAGCTGCACGAGTCATTGTAACATATTAGTTTGATTCATTTTTAATATTAATATTGATAATATAAACAAAAACATATGTGACGTTTGTTTTATTTCACATATTTTACATTTTATATGAGATTACTATTTATATATAGTAGTATTAACATTACTTACAACCTATAGTAAGCCTGGTGTGTGTGTGTGTGTGTGTGTATATATATATGATTTATATAGAGA